AGTTTGTAGATGGTGTTTTGTATTTGTAAACCACATTGTGTTTGTTAGTGAATCATGAGGCATTTGTAAAACTTGTTTAGTTTGTTTGTGGAGTTATGGCAGTAAATTAGCTCCATAGTAAGGTATCTACTTCATATTTTATTTAAAGGTAGACATTTATAATATGTTATAAATGTCTATTTTGTTATATAATACAACATTTGTATATATAATATTTGACATTAATACAGTGGCGGTTCTAGAACATTTTACATGGGGGGGCAAAGGGGGGGCAAGAGGTCATGCCAGGGTGGCATGGGAGGGCGGACAGTACGTGGTATTTTATACTGTATATAACCTATTTATTGTTAATTCATGCCCTAACACAAGTGTTCTTAATGCACAAGAGAAACAAGGTGTTTAGACAAACAATCGTGTGCCCTTTGAGTCCCCCAAGCTTACTTCAATAATTTTAAATGAAAGGAAACTACAAAATGTATTTTAAAGCAATGAATTAATGGAACAGGTTTTTTTGCATTACAATGTAAAACTAAATATATATTTTGTTTTTAAAAAATTGGTTTTCTTAGTATTAGACAGACATATTTGCATGTGCTCACTAAGCATTATTACATATTAATTTAATATCAAACCAATCAAAATGGCCAATTATCCCAAAATGTTGCTGCTAATATAATCATATGCTTGTCAACTTTAACTGATCAAAAATAAATTCTGAAAAAATACTTGAATTATCTATGAAATTACAATATTGTCCCTCAGTTTGTTTCAACCCCGTCACGCCATACCATTTACCCTCCTATTAAAATAATGGATCAGTCCATGTGTGATCTGCAATGAGGGAATTACATCACAAAAGTGTCAGTTTCTTCTCTTACCTATATTTCAGTTTTTGTATTTTCAGATTAAGATTGACAAGCTCAACATTTCAACTTATAATGAAGTACACAAATGACATCACCCATCTCTTCAGAGAGCTACAGGTGACCTGTGCAGCAACACATTTCAATCAATATTTGTCAATACTAAGAGCTGCTAGATTGTGCTGCTGTGATGGAATATGTAAGGAGAATAAGAACATACCATGTGGTCCAGCTGGAGTTTCATCTGCCTCCTGATCCCTGCCTCTGTCCCTCTTTCTGACACTTCATCTTTATTCCTCACATACATTTATTCTTCTTCACTAATGTCTTCATCTCCTCCTCCTGCTCTGACCCTCCTGGTCTCTTCATCTCCTCCTCTTCCTCCTGCTCTGACCCTTCTGGTCTCTTCATCTCCTCCTCTTCCTCCTGCTCTGACCCTCCTGGTCTCTTCAGTGAACTCTCTTTTCCTTTTCCTCTTTCTGTTCGTCCTGATCACTTCTCATATGTCTTTGTGTTGTTGTTGAATCACTCCTATACTCTGGCCTGCAAGAGTCTACTTGTGAAAAGCACAGGTACAAATGTTTGTATAACTTTACGCGTTAGGGCCATGTAGCCTAGCTAATATGTAGCATATCATATAACATCAGAAAGTATTGATCAAGCACACACAGGCAGCTGTGTTTGGATCCAGTTTTTACAGTAAAGGATGTATCCTGGTTTCATTGATCTGGCCTCATTGCTGTGATGTGTAGTTTACGTGGATTTAATAGTAGGCTACCGCGTAGTTTAGCAAAGTGATCGATCTCCCAGCTAACGCTGTCTGCGTAGTATTTTGTAACGTAACGCCCCAAATAGCGCCTGTCTGTTAAACGCTATCGATTCAAACGGCAGCGTTTTATTAATATTTAGTTTCAAGCTCTCGTCCTTAGTAAAAACAAAACTAGTGGAAAGGGAAATGCTCCCAGGGGAAGCTGATCCATAGGTGCTGGGACAGCTCGCTCCCTCTCTGCAGCGGTGTGAGCCGCGGTCTGTGTGAACGCCGCTCCGCAGTTTAATGCAGGGCCGTAGCTGCGTTTTTAACGGGCCTAAAATGATATTTAAAATGATTCACTTTTAACTCATGTAATGCTTGTTTTGTTGCTTGAGAAGCTTGTGGAAATAGTGTAGGTTTGTTTTAGTACAGTTTTAGGGAAACAAAGTTAGGGGGGCAGCTGGGGGGGCAAGGCTCTACAGTGGGGGGGGGGGGGGAAGCTACCCCCCCTTGCCCCCCCGTAGATCCGCCCCTGCATTAATAACATATTAACGTTTTGAGACCATGTAAAAATGTATTCCTTGACATAAAAGTGCTTTCCAGAGGTGTAAGAAGTGATACGATCTTGTACTTGAGTAAAAGTACAAGTACCAGAGTGTAGAAATACTCAAGTATAAGTACTAAAGTATTAGCATCAGAATAGTACCTGAATAACTATAAGCTGTTTTTTTTGCTTTCATTTCAGACCTCGTGTTTGTGTGTGCTCTGGAGGCACACAGAACAATATAGAGGAGTACCCGCAGTTGAAGGTATCTGATAAGACCTATCTCTCAATACTATGATGAGCATCACATTACATTGGATGTGTTTGCTCATATCAATGCCTCACCTACACATCATCATCATCATCTAAACTATACCACTTAATAACAGACTTATTGTCCAGATAAAAGACAAGGCATTACAAAGAATAACATACATGAAGTACATTTAAAGAGAATATAAACATTTTAGCATAACTATACCAATGTTTTAGGATTTTGAGGGTTGGATTTTTATTTTTCAGACTTTTTAAGCCTGCAAGTATAATGTGTATTCTACTCTAGTTCTAAGTAAAGTCAGTACATTTTAAACCTCATGGTCCTCTTTAGTTCTTCAGATCATGGCAAAACTCTTACTGGTATTTGACATCCTGTTCCACACCATAAAAAGTAGATTTGCCAAAGTATCCCCATTAGGGTTTATTTTCCCTAATATTGTCATAGTCATTCTTTAGTAAAGTGATTGTGTTGTTATGGTAGTTGTAGTGTTGCAGTATCATTTTTGTAGAACATTATATATCTAGCATACAAGTATTATATTCTGAGCTGACACAGTATTATGTGTGTGGATTTTAATTAATAGTTGTCTGTTTCCTTGTAGGGTTGGCTACCAGGTGAGTTCAGATACCACGTGTGCCAGTATGAAGAGGCGGTTTCACTGGGGGACCACACTGGTTTTGAGGCCACTTTGAGGCTAGATGTCCACACTTTGGAACAGGTCAAGGAGTGGGTACAAAAGCTGAATCGGGGGTGACATGGAGGGTGGATGTTACCCGACCCAGGTTGGGGAAGCGGGTGCTTTTCAAATTAAGTGTTGTCTTGTTGATATTTCTTGAAGTTACCTTTTAATGATCCTTTTTACTTTGACCTGTACTATAATAAATCTGCTTTATTTTGTTCAGGCAAGTTATAAGTGTCAGCATAGGGTGAACCCGAGAGCAGCCAAAAGCAGCAGAACACCTGCTGTCAAGCAAAAATGCACACGACACTCAAGAGTACTCGTGGTGAAATGAAGTGAGTTTACTGATCCACATACTTATTATTTCACGTTTTGTTTTTTTACTATTATACTAATATAATATTGATATATATATATATATATATATATATATATATATATTGATTTATGTTATAGGACCGAAGACCCACACATGCCTGACCTACCATTTAAGGTTATCCTAATAAACAGGCACAACCACAATCTTTTTGTTGCGGACGCCATCCGCCACCGAGATGTTGGGGAAAAGGCAATCAACATACTCATAGGGCCCTTTGAAATTGGCCACACTCTAACATCTGCACTGGCGGTCCTAAAACACGACCTCCAAATGGAGTATGGGCAGCGATATGTGTACGTGTCGGCCAACAGGGAGATTTGCCCCGACCTGCCTTATGTACAGAGGTGGGTATCACATCTGGAAACATGTTCAAGATACCTACTACCCACTATATAAATAACGATGCAATAAAAACTATGATGTATTCAGTGAATACAAATACGCTTTTCTACTGCATGTAAGTGACACGCATACCAACTAATTCATTTTCTACCCAGACTGTTCCACAAGGCGTGTAGGGAGGAGTATGGGCTCTCCTGGGAACAACTTCCCAGGGAGCTCCTCTTGTGGTTGTGTGTTCTCCACTCATGAAGAAAGTGCACCAACTGAAGCACAGTGGGGAGCTGTGCTTCATAGATTCCTCAGGGAATATGGACAGAGAGAACTGCAGGGTATTCCTCCTCCTGACCCACTGTGCAGGTGGCCTCCCTCTGGGCATTCTCCTCTGCCAGTCTGAGGATGAGCAGACTATTGCTCAAGGGCTGGAACAGCTAAAAGAAGTTGTTGGAGAGAAGGGCTTTGCTGGCAAAGGACACGAAGGGCCACAACTGGTCATCATAGATGACTGTAGGGCAGAGAGGGGAGCTCTGAGAAAAGCATTTCCTAAGGCCACACTTCTCCTGTGCTCCTTCCATCTGCTACAAGCAGTTTGGAGGTGGCTGTGGAGCAAGGAGAGTGGGGTCACTCACGGAGACAGACCGGCACTTTTTGCCATTGTAAAAGAGATGCTTTACTGTCAGGAGATAGGCAGTGTGGATAGGCTTTACAGCGAGGCAAGAGGGCATCCATTGCAGCCAGGTTAGTGTTTAATGCAGACAAGTTAGTGATGTTTTGTTTAGCCATATGAGAGAAATTGATTATATCAAATAACATCCAACACCCAATGTAATGAAGTGATTAAGCTTTACTGTTTGGATAATTTGTTATTATTTAAAGATTTTTTGTTTCTTTTTTCTAACCAATTGCAGGTATGAAAAGTTCCTCAGGTACTTGGACCGGCTGTACGCCAGAAGAGAGTGTTGGACCTTCAGTTATAGAGGCAGTTTCCTCACCAGAGGAAACAATACCAACAATTTTGCAGAAGCGGCAATGCGTGTCCTCAAGGACAAAATACTGCAGAGGACAAAGGCCTTCAACCTTCCTCAGCTGTTTGATCTGCTGACCTCGAGGCTGGAGACCTATTATGAGGCACATGCGTGCCTCATAATAGGTCTCCAGCCTCGTTGACGTTGCCCTTGGACGCTGGGAAGCATTCCAGTGAGCAAAATTCCTCCCCCAAGATGGCAACATTGCAGCATCGCATATTCAGCAGGTAATGGATATAACAGCCGAAAAAACATAACATGCTATTGGTTTATCACTACGGAATGAATACGCACATATGTCACTTGTGTAACAAATACATTTATCCTTGTTTGACTTGTGATTTTGCAGATTGAGGACAAGAAGTTTGTGGTGAAGGGATCTACCCAAACGTATTATGTAGACATGGACTTGGAGCTGTGTTCTTGCCCTGCAGGACAAACAGGAGCGCCTTGTAAACACCAGGCAGCAGTGATGAAACATTACAGCTGTTTGTCACACTCTTTTCTACCGATAAACCCAGAGATGAGAGCAGAGCTGATGAAACTGACATCGGCAGGTAAAGTCAATATTTTAACAATAACTGGTGTAATGAGACTGCCAACATTTCATGTTTTGATTACAAAATAAAGGATATACACTGTTTATTTTTTTATTTATTTTTTGATCCCTTAATGTTTTTTAGAAACCATCTCTTTGGATTTCCTCCAACCCCTCAGACTTGAAAGGCAATCATGTCAGTCGTTTAGAAGTAAGTAATAAACTAAACTTACATTAATAATGGTGTAATTATATAAAATAATTGAAACTTTAAATCAAAATAACAAAGTAGTTCTATATTATCCATGTCCATCACTAATACCATGTGAGACACACATAATTGATGTATCTCTTGGTATCTGTAGGCACTCATGAACCAAGCACTACGCCTCAGGAGCAACAAGATGAAGGTTTGTTATGAACATTTCAACTGAACACACACACACACACACACACACACACACACACACACACACACACACACACACACACACACACACACACACACACTATACCTAGACTTTTCTTTCCCCTTGGACCATAACATCAGAAAAGTATGGTATGACTAATAAAAACCTTGAACCTTGATACAAACTCCGGTCCAGTAGGTGGCGGGAAAGTACCTATTCTTCGGTTGACTACCGCTAATGACCCTCCAAGAAGGAGAAGAAGAAGAAAAGGAAGAGTGGACAGTGTTGCAGACGGTCTCAGAATGTTTGGAAACGTTTTGCTCTTGCTGTTTCTCTTCATTAATATCTACAATGACCCTGCTGATGCACAGAAGAAAAAAGAGGTGACATTTATTCTGTAACACACACCGGAAAAAGTTAAACTGATATTTCTGCGACGTTTCAAAAGTCCGTGTCAATCTGAGAAGCTAGGCTAAAAGCAACCAGGATATAGCTGGTTGTATGGAACTATGGACAAAACTAATAACTGCGCAACACATCACATGCATCTGCTATTGACTCATGCAGGGGCACAGTCAGCGTTAGCTCTCTGAACCATGGATGTGTAATAAGAACTCTGAACACGGCTTCAGGAACTACAGACTGCTTCAGGAAGTAGATTGCAACAGGAAGGACAAACTCCACTTCCTTTTACACGCCTAGAATGTGAATCAAGTTATCCTTTTCTCAAACAAATAACTTGATTAAACCTTTCGTTATTCAAACCATCTCTGTGTTGATTGCTTGTATCAAGCATAGTGATGCAATGTAGTATCCTAGTAGTAGGAATATAACAATGAATGTATACCCCCACCGTGATGTTTTGTAGAACAGATTATCAGGCCGTTTTATGTGCAGGTTGCCAGCCATAACTATGGGCATAGATATGTCTCATAATTATTTGTGTGAACATACAAATAATTTGTGTGTAAATATGTGATTTGTAAATGTAAAACAACATCCACAAATGCATTTAAAAGATTAGCAAACTCACAAATACATTTGCAAGTGTAAAACGGATCTGCAAATACGTTAAATATGTTCACAAATAAAAAAAAGATCTGTGAATATCTCTTTAACATTTACACCTTTCGATCAGGCATTTGTGAATCCATTTTGTATTTGTGGACCAAAAATGCGCTTGCGGATCTCAAATCTCTGTTCACGGATCTCAAATCTCTGTTCGCGGATCGTCTTTTTACACACACAGAATTTTGAGACATATTTTCCGCCGGTCTCGGCTAAAATCTACTCGTGTCACTCGGTTATTTTCGGAAACCACGTGATGGCCTGCTGATGACGACATTTCCGCATGATTTCAAAGTAAGAGCATGATGGTTTGTTTAATGCTCTGTTTTTGTATTATAATGAACAGCGGAACGTTGGATGTATTCTTCATCACCATAACCCTGACCTAAATACGGTGCTTTTCTACAGATTACTTTATTACTGCACTGGTAAGGTAAAATTAGGCCGATTAATAAGATGTGAAGTGCTTTGTAACTTTAACCTGCTTGACTGAATACACAACACACAATGAAGAAAGAGTTTTATCTGGGCTGTTTCACTGCCAGCTGCTCCCCCAGGACCCGAAAGTGGCGTAGGCTATAGCCTGCACTTCAACATCAACGAAAGTGCTCGATATATGCTATATTGAACCAATAACACAAACTAACTGTATCACTATAACATGATGATGATGGTGATGGTGATGAAGAATGCATCTAACGTTCCGCTGTTCATTATAATACAAAAACAGAGCATTAAACAAACCATCATGCTCTTACTTTGAAATCATGCGGAAATGTCGTCATCAGCAGGCCATCACGTGGTTTCCGAAAATAACCGAGTGACACGAGTAGATTTTAGCCGAGACCGACGGAAAATATGTCTCAAAATTCCGTGTGTAAAAAGACGATCCGCGAACAGAGATTTGAGATCCGTGAACAGAGATTTGAGATCCGTAAGCGCATTTTTGGTCCACAAATACAAAATGGATTCACAAATGCCTGATCGAAAGGTGTAAATGTTAAAGAGATATTCACAGATCTTTTTTTTATTTGTGAACATATTTAGCGTATTTGCAGATCCGTTTTACACTTGCACATTTATTTGTGAGTTTGCAAATCTTTTAAATGCATTTGTGGATGGTGTTTTACATTTACAAATCACATATTTACACACAAATTATTTTTATGTTCACACAAATAATTATGAGACATATCTATGCCCATACATAACTATCACTACATTTGTCCATAATATTACATTTCTGTTCAATCAGGACTATTCCTGCCTGAATGTAAAACAAAGAGATACATGTTTTTATGAACATCTGATCATATGTCAGTCACTGCTTAATTGTTTTTTATTAATGGATTGTTTGTTGTGAGTTTATGATTTTCATAACCAACATGCCTCCAAATGGTTCTAGTGCGAAGGAGTAACTGTTTGAATATAACCTAAGAGTTTATACATTTGTTATAACGTTCCCTATATCTTTATCCCAAATGCTGCATGGAGTTGTATCAGGATGGCTTTTCTCTTGTGTTCTCTTGTTTTAGTGTCTAACACTATGAGGTGTCTGTCCTGTGTAGACTCTGCTGTCAGAGAAGTTGACTCAGATGATGGAGTGGACCTCCAAGCGATCAGTTATCAGGATGAATGGGGATAAATTCCGTCGCTTTGTGAAGGCTCCTCCCAGGAACTATTCGGTGGTCATCATGTTCACTGCACTGCAGCCACAGAGGCAGTGTGGGGTCTGCAAGTAAGACATGGGGGGCCCTTGAGAGAGGCAATGCTTTTATTTGTATTCTTAACAGTGTATTTAAACAATGTTTTCATTTCAGACAAGCTGACGAGGAGTTCCAGATGCTGGCTAACTCTTGGCGTTATTCCTCTGCATTTACAAACAAAGTCTTCTTCGCATGTGTCGACTTTGATGAAGGATCCGACGTCTTTCAGATGGTGAGACAACGCTTTTTTGTAATGGTCTGTCATTCGTTCATTAACATAAAAAACGAAGCTCATTGAGTTAGAAGTTAGAAGTGTGTGATGTTGTTGCTGCCAAAGCAGGTTTATACAAGTTCTAAATCCAAGAGTTTGGTTAGCACTGCAAAGGTTTAAAGGTTGTGTGAGTGTTATTAGTTTAAGTACATGGAGATTAATAAAGTAATGCAACGTGTTTGTGTTGCAGCTCGGTATGAATTCTGCTCCGACCTTCCTCCACTTCCCATCCAAAGGGAAACCTCGCAAGTCTGATACCTATGAGCTGCAGGTCAGAGGCTTTGCAGCTGAGCAGCTGGCCAGATGGGTGGCAGACAGGACTGATGTGCAGGTAATGGCAAAACATTCATCATCATTTCCGTATGTTTACCATGACGATATAACCAAAACTTGAGTTTACCAATCACACGTTTATCTGTTTCTTAGATCCGCGTCATTCGCCCTCCCAACTACGCAGGGCCTCTCCTGCTGGGCTTCCTCCTGGCTGTGATTGGAGGACTGGCATATCTGCGAAGACACAATTTGGAGTTTCTCTTTAACAAGAATGTGTGGGCCTTCTCTGCACTGGTAACAGCCATGCACACACTGATGACCTATTGGTGATAATACTCTGTCAAGATGTGAAGAAAGTCAAATGGTCTCGTCCGAGCTGAATGTCAGAGAGTTAGAGAATCTATTCCTCAAGTTGAAAAAGGATATGTTAGACTTCAGGTTCTGCACATTCCCGAATGCTATTCTTTTCAGTTGCTATATTCTCCATGTTTTAATACTGTTTGTTATTTAGATTATTTTCAGATGTTGGTTATATTTGTTCATTCCCCAAACGTTGCAAACACCAACTAAAGACAGCGTCCAAATCCACATTGAATCTTACACAGTCCACTACCGACTTGATGATACAAAAACTATAACACTGTATTAAGTTATTTAAATACACGTTAACGCAGTCAAAAACATATACCCATCCACGTTTCCGGACTCCCCGGTCTTACTGGCGTAAAGCCATTTAGCTGTGCTCGACAGGCCCCTGTAACCTGCTTCACAGTATTCATCTCTGTCATAACCAATAACAAACATCTATATATACAAAACTATGGAAAGTCGGTGGTTTCAATTGAAATAAAATTCAAAGAATATACTTAATGTCTTGCCAACATTAGCATTTTACCCAGTGGCTGGGAGAACGGCTCTTACAGAGGGAGGTCCAACAGTAAATACAGGTGTGTACGGAATAGATCAACATTGTAATAAATAGATGGATTTAGATTCAACTTGAGGAACGTACAGCCAGCCCTCGCAGGACTATAAGTACCTGGTTTATTAGATGTATTGAAACACAAACTGAACCAACCAGAAGGATAATGGTAACAAGTGCAAGGCGTGTGAGTAATCAAAGCCACGCCGAGACATCGGTATCGTCCGATGTTAGCCGTTTACCACCTATAAGGTGACATGCGCTGATGGCAGTCGCCAATGTTTCTGTTTTGCTCGGTGACTTCTCCTCCTATCCCCTCTGTGAGGAGCTGCTGCTGCTGTTTCTGCACACAGGTGGATTATTTGTGTTGTGTTTTTGTGTATTTCAGTGCTTTGTCCTGATCATGACCTCGGGCCAGATGTGGAACCACATCAGAGGTCCGCCTTATGCACACAAGAACCCCAGCACAGGGCAAGTGGTAAGGAAAAAACACTTTGTTTATGATATGTGAACAAACCATCCAAACAGGATCTAACTGTGTTTATTTCCAGAGCTACATCC